ACACGGAATCTTATGAAAGAAGTGGGAAATAGTAAGACCTGGAGAGGACAGGAGCTCCACAAGGACATGGACAGATCCTAAAAGTATGGGCACAGGGGTCTTTTCTGAAACTGATACTCCAGCCAAGGTAGCCTATGGCAGTTCAGTATCCAAGTGGGTTCCATAGTAATGGGAAGAGGGACTGCCTCTGACATGAACTGATTGGCCTGCTCTTTGATCACCTCCCCCTGAGGGGGGAGCAGCCTTCCCAGGCCACAGAAGAAGACAATGCAGCCACTCCTGATGAGACCCGATGGATTAGGATCAGAGAAAAGGAGAGGAGGACCTCCCTTTTAGTGGACTGGGAGAGGGACACGGGTGGGGAAGAGGAGGGGAGGATTGGGAGGGCAGGAGGGAAGGAGGTACAGAGGGGATACAAAGTGAATAGAATGTAATCAATAAAAATAAAAATATAGGAAAAAATAAAAATATAAAGACACCATCATGCTACTTATTGGTATAATTGCAGAAGAAGAACAGGAGGAGGAGGAGGAAGAAGAAGCTAAGCTGTGAAAATAAGACTGTCAGACTGAAGTTCCCATTGGGTGATACCTGTTAGTAGAAGAGAAGAAGAAATGTGTCAAGGCTATTCCAGTGGGAACTGAGTTTGTGCCAAAACCTACTTGAAGAGAAGAGGAAGCTGAATTTCAAGATGATAATCAAGAGTTTTCCGTTCTATTTATAAGAGATGCTAAGAGGGCCGTCTTTGTGAACAAGAAGCCCCAGAATAAATAGCAGGAATTTTTTGATATATGTAACATTAGAAACATTTTCAGTTTCTCAAAGATCAAATTTGATGTTGATAGCTTTGTTCATAGCTTGGGTCGTTATACAGATTGTGCAACAAATTCACCTATTTGTGGAACACTTATATATAGCTGTAAGTCTTTAGAGGTAGAATGATCCCAGCATTACCAAATTTCCAAACCTTAGAGCCAAGAACTGATACTGATTAAATAATTGGCTGTACGTTAAAATAATATTTTTACATAAACACTGATTTTTCCACTTGATACACTGTTAGCTTCTCTAAGCATCACAAAGTTAATATACATTACACACATATAGAGCTCCTTGAAATATCATCAACCACTTCAATTATCATTGACACATTCAAAAGACTTTTTTTCCACATAGATTAAGTATCTTTTTAATTATTATTAAATTAAATTATTATTTTAAAAAGTTGCAAACAAATAAAAACACTACACACTAAAATTAACCAGACCTAGAACACATTAAAATTAACTAGACCTAGCATCTGTGCAAATCAATGGATTTCTAGTCAGTTATAATAGGAATTCTGAAGAAAAGCTGTGGAGCTTCCCATTACATTTTACACTTTCAGTATGAAATACATTTATGTACTTATCTGCTACCAATTGTTCTTGGTGGTAAAGAAGTAGATATGCTTATTGATAATGAATAATTATAATTTTCTGAAACTGTAATTTTTTTCTGATCACATATTGACATGATTAATGCTCTTGGCATCTTCCACCTGTCCCCAAGCTCTCACTTACCATCAGTAGACAGACTACTTTATACCTTACTTTCCTCTAATTCAGGGAGCACAAGCAATAGACAGGTTGGAGGAAGGTGGAGTTCGAGTATTATGTCCTCTCCACACACATGGTCATCTGATTTGATATGATATCTTCCAACAAAAGCTACCACAGAGATGGCTTAAAGGTTAAGAAGCTTGCTGTTTTTTTTCAGGTGACATGATTTTCTTTCCTACCACCTATGATGGGTAGCTTCAAGGGAACAGAAACCTCTTCTGGCCTCCAAGGGTACCCACACACAGGTCTACATGTACACACCCAGAAATACACATAAATACAAATAAAATTAATTTTTAAAAGCTAACACTTCTACCATAATCCCACTGTCTTCTCTGATTCCAGATCCTACTATCAGATCCCCTTCTCACCACCTGAAGACCTAGAAATAGTAACAGCATTCAGTAATTATTACTGCTGACATATCGCAGCCTGTTATGATTTTCCTACATCCTAATCAGTTACTTGAAAATCTCAAATGTCCAAGTTTGGTAGTATTATCTTGGCATGAAATGATTTACACACACAGTACATTTTTCTAATATCCAAAAATCTGAGAACACACCAATACTGTTCAGGTTGCTCTAAGAAATTACTATTGACTGGGTAACTAAAGAAGCATAAATTTATTGTGAATACTCCATAATACTCTGATGACTGAAATTAACATGCTAGCTGACCTAATATCTGGGGGAGTTTGGGTTCCTGATTTAAAAAAAATTGGCCATCTTCTCATCACATCCTTACATGTCAGACACCAATCCCATTCATAGGGGTTATCTTCTCAAGGACTAATCCAAATACCTCACCTCTTCGTGACATCACTTTGGGGATTCAAACCCTAACATGAGTTTTAAAGGAACACAAGCATTCTATTCATTACACAGTGCACAAAAGAAAAACTTTTAGGCATTTTTTTGCTAGTTATCATAAATAAAAAGCTAAAGTTTACTGAAAGCTTACTCTATACTAGAACTATTCTGAATATTTTAAGTGCTTATTCCTATTAGCTGAAATTTAATCCTATGAAAATGAAGTAGTAATTATGCAGAACTGCAGAGAAAGGTTAAATGACTTGGTCAAAGTCACATAGAAAATAAGTGGCAGGGCTGAGGATGTAAACCAAAACAGTCTGACTTCTGAACCCCAATTGGTTGCACAGATTAATAGTGTCTTCATACACAAGAATAGTAAGAGAATATTTCATGAAAAAATTATGTAGTTAAAATGAAAATATTAAATGAAACTTCCAGAATATACAGAGTTGCTAAAAAATAAAGAACTAAACATACTTGTTTTACTATCAACAGAAAAAAAATGTTATAGGAAATAATGATATGCATAGAAAGGCAGATCGAGAAATACCACTTTAGAAAAGGTAGATTGGAAAAGAAATTAGGGGTTTTTTTGGGGGGGAGGGGAGACAAGATTTCTCTGTGTAGGCTTTTCTAGACTCATAGAGATCTGCTTGCCTCTGCCTCCCAGAGTGCTGGGATTACAGGTGTGTGCCACTATGCCTAGCTGAAACTAGCATTTATTAAATACTGGTTATGCTTTCTGTTCCCTCAGAACCAAGACCCTGGTCTCCTCCCTAGCATTACAACAGAACGCAAGCTGTAGCCTCTCCTTACCACCCTGCGCATCTTCTGTGTATCCCACAGAACACCCCCTCCTAATCTTCCTCCTTGCACTCATCACTGTATCCCAGCCCCCAATTCCAGGAGGAATGCTATGTTGAACCACAGGCCACAACTGCCAGAAAACTAGTATCTCTTTATTTCTTTCAATACCGCAGTTTCAACTCTTGCACTGCAACATTACTCCAGTTGTAGCCTTCCCTTACTCCTGCCCACATCTCCTGTTGATCCCAAAAAGGAACTCCTCCTAATCTCCTTCTCCCAATTTGTTGCTTTGTCTCAGACCCTACTCCAGCAGGTATCTCCTGCTAACCCAAGGGCAACTCTACCCAGAGCAACAAGTAGGCTTGTTCAGTCAGACCCATACCTCTCCTAAAGCTTCAGAGATTCAGTTCCTCCCAGGTCTCATCCCCCACACAGTAGCTAGAAACCTGCGGTGGTCTCACTTTTCTCTCTGACCCCATCCCTAATGGTAAGAAAAACCTTTTCCAAATTTCCTTTCCCCAACTCACCCCAGTAACCCAGGTTCCAACACCAGCAGGTATTCCCTATGAGCACACTTGCTGAACAGGCTGGAAAAATGGACATCATACTCTCTGAAACAGAAACCAAGCAACAAAACACCCACCCAACACAGACAAATTCAGAAATCAGTACCTAGATCTTTACTCATCCCAAACCCAGATACCTAGACACCAGCATAAAAATACAATAAAAAAACAACCAGAGTAATATGTCTCCACTAGAGCCTAGCTATCCTGAATATCCTGAATACCTCAGCAGGCCCTGAATATTTTAACTCAGCAGGAACACAAGGAAAAGATCTTAAAACCAGCTGTATGAAGATGAAAGGAGTTCTTAAGGAGTAAATGAATGAATCCTTTAAAGAAATGCAAGAAAATACAAACAATTGCAGAAAATTATTATCTTAAACAAATCCACGAAGAAAAAAATGGGAAGAAACAAGTAAAACCATTCAAGACAGAAGAATAGAAATAGAATCAATAAAGAAAACTCAATCCGAGGAAATTCTGAAAATAAAAATATTAGGAATTTGAACAGGAACTACAGACACAAGCTTCCCCAGCAGAAAACAAGAGATGGAAAAGAGAATCCCAGGCACTGAAGGTACTATAGAAAAAATGATACACTAGTCAAAAAATGTTAAATCTAAAAAGTTCATGACATGAAACATGCAGGAAGTCTTTGACACCATGAAAAAAAAAAAAAAACAAGCCTAAGAATAATAGGTATAGAGGAAGCAGAAGAAACACAGCTCAAAAGCCCAGAAAATGTATTTAACAAAATCGGAAGAAAATCTTCCTAACCTAAAAAAGAAAATGTCTATAAAGATACAAAAAACAAACACAACACCAAATAGATTGGTCCAGAAAAGAAAGTCCCTTCACTGCATATTAATCAAAACACTAAACATATGAAACAAAGAAAAACTATTAAGAGCTATAAGGGAAAAAGAGCAAGTAAGATATAAATGTTCACGTATAAGAATTACACTTGACTTCTCAATGGAGACTCTAAAGGCCAGAAGAGCCTGGAAAAGTGTGCTGCAGACCATAAGAGACCACAGACTACTATACCCAGAAAAACTTTCAGTCCCCATAGATGTATAAAATAAGATATTGGATTAAAAGAACAAATTTAAGCAATATTTATCTGTTAATACACCCTTACAGAGGGCGCTAGAAGGAAAACTCCAATCTAAATACATCAAAATACAGAGAATAAAAATAGTCCTAGAACATGGCCCTGGCAATGGGCATAGAGAAACGTTGTTGGTGATGGTGTTCTTTTATCATTCAGGGGAGAGCAGATGATAGTCCTTTGTTCATCCTAGCTTGATGCCTGGCTTGGTGACTAAAGCTGTCTTATGCTTAGGACTCATGAGCTAGGGATAGCTATCCCTGACCCTCACTAGTTGCAGCACCTGAAAGAGCAGTCCTGCACCTTGCGTGTACAGAACCGCAGAGCTGATGGGGTGGGGTTGGCCGGGTATGAGCCAGTCCCTAGGGCGAGAGCTTGGGAAAACTGGCTCCACCACTCCTCTGCCATGATTTGACAAGGGGCAGTCAGGAGAACTGGCTCTGGAGTCATGAGAGCTGGTGAGCTCTCCCTGCCTCTTGCTGGCTGCAGCACTCAGGAGAGTAGGTCCTGCACCTCTCCTGCTCAACACAGTGAAGTTGTCCTTGACGGCAAAGGCATAGGTGAGCCAGCCCTGAGGGTGTGATAGCAGAATAACTGTACTAGGCCCTCTCGGGCTGCAGCACTTGGGAAAGTTGGTCCCACATCTTGACTGGGCAGCACAGTCGAGCTGGCTCTAGAGACATGGGTAGAGGTGTTCCAGCCCCAAGGGCATGAAAGCAAGAGAGCCGACCCTACCTCTGGCCTATGGTGGCATTGGGTGGCACCCTGATGGTATGGATGGTATGGATAAGGGAGAGTCTGACCAGCTCAGCTACCACCAAAGACTAGATCCAGGCATCTGAATTGTCCCACTCCAAAATCCATATCATCTGTGAATGGTTGGGACATGTGAAAAAGGGTCAGTCCTGCTGTTCCAAAACTGCAGGATCTCCACGACACAGGGCAACAACATAAGTGGGACGAGTCCTAATGAAGATCCAACATTGATGATATCACAGAAGCCAGAGATCTCAAACCAGACCAATAACCCATTGCAATAAACATTTGCAAGTGTATACATGTGGACAGAGGGATCATACTGTGGACACACTGTGGGACACATTGTGATGATAATTTTATGTTTTGTTGTTGTTTACATTCATTTTTTTATGGGGGATGTTGCAAGGGTGAAGGGTGGAAATGAGGGGAAGGGGAGATGAGTGGCACTTTTGTGCATGATGTGAAACTCACAAAGATTCAAAAAAAATGTTTTTATTTTAATTATTATTCTTTATTCCAATTTATTCACTTTGTATTCCAGCTGTGGTCCCCTCCCTCATCTCCTCCCAATCCTACCCTCCTGCCAAACCCTGCCAAAAAAGAAAGAAAGAAAGAAATGATAACCTGAATATTAAGTAGGAAACAATCTCAAGATCAATAAGAAGTCCTAAATTCTCAAATAGCATAAAGTTATGAGTCATAGTACAAATAATGAGCACATGATGATGACCTGACCACTACAAAAATATAAGCCAGATGTTGCCATATTTCTACTTGGTTGAGTAGCATTTTGCCACATCTTTAGTTACTCTAAAATGACTTTTCTGTCTAAAGAATAAATCATGTAGGGTTCCTTCATTTGTTCAACAAATATTAGCTTTGCTAATACAGCTTATAACTTCAATCACCAATTTTACACAATCTTTATAAATTTCAATTTCAATTTACAAGTACCTGTTGTTGCCTAAACATCTGGTAACTAAAAACCTCTAACTAAGAAACCTGTTACTGATGTGTTAAATTTCTTTAGCTCTTCTAAACTGTTTTTAATAACAAGTTTGCTTTGGAATTCCTTAACTCAGTGTGATGATAGACCTGATATCTGGGGAAGTTCTTTCTAGCACTGGCTAAAATGAAACAGTAGGGTTTCTAGTCAGAAATTGCTATCAATTTCAAGATGGCTAGAGCAGAGCATTAAAGGAAGTCCTTTTAAACACAGGGTACCATGAAGCTGCACAGGCTCTATATATGTGAAGCCAGTCCTGCTAGCCATTTCCTAGATATATTTCTAGAAAATATATCCTCAAACTACAGGTGGCCAAGAAAGGAGAGTCATGAGTTTGAGGTCAGCTTGAGCTACACAGTAAAATCATGTCTCAAAAACATATATTGTGCTGCAATTGGGGGGGGGGTATACATTTATAGACATATTTCTGTCAGAAAGACATGACTCTCAAGATTTCATCTAAATATAAACATTTCTCTACCGTTTCATCATTGGGTTATCTAATGTTTTCATTATGAAGATTTCTGAAAGAATGTGATTGAGCCTGTAGTACCATTGCTAAAAACCTGGTCTATCAACTTTGTACTTACACAATGAAGAAGGGAACCTCATTAATAAAACACTTACTTTATTCTAAAACTGGGACGAGAGCTTCAGAAAATTATCTTATTTAATATAATGTATCATATTTTGAAGCTCAGAGAAATAAAAATAATTTACTCCAAATCATGAAATTAGTAAAGCTTTGCTGAGATTCACAGACTATCATCCCATTTGTCTCTTACTATAGTCTCTCTGAGACTCATAGAGCCTTTCTAATATTTACTAGTGAGTTTATTTAGGAGTGATTAAAAGGAAAGAAAAGAGTGATTAAAAACACCCAAAGACAATAAATATTTCCAAGGTCACAAGAAAGCACTTTCAATCTTGAAGTCAATGTATTTTTTATTACTATTTCATAGACGCAATTATCATTAGGTAAATAGAATACATTTACTTTTGTTTTTTAATCTATTAAAAATTCTGGAAATTGAATTTTTGAAAAATGCTTAGTTCACATGAATTCAGGGAAAAGGAAATTGAATGATCAGTAAAGATATTTTAATACTGACTCTCATTAAGCATTTTTATGCTGTTGGCTGTGTAATTTTTTCATGTCTCTAATATCAATATCATCTAGGACAGGTGGTAAGAACTATTTCAGTTTAAATTAGTATACACAAAGTAGAAAAAGTGGCTGAATAACTAATAATTACCTAAAAGTAGCATTTGGTACATCTTCAAAACTTTCCTACTCAGACAGAATGTGCAAATGTCCTCTCCTGCGGTTGGAACAGAGAGGATTATGGCTGGAGCTCAGAGGATGAAGCCCTCCAGAGTTTCAAGCTTCTCTCACTTTGACCAGATATTAGGTACTACATTTCAACTTTCTTCATCAAAAACATCCCAATTTAGCAGAAAAGTGAGAGAATTTAATTTTCTGTAAAGGAAATCTAGTAAACACTTGTAACTGTTCAAACTCTGTGGTTTCTACTGCCACTACTAATTTTCACTGTTGTCATGTGAAGTCAGGCACAAGTAATGACAGCTTTGGTTGTCCTGGACTCAATTAAAAACTCAAAAGTTCCCACTGAAGTTCTCAATTCTTAACTCCAAAGTATATTTGTGTTCGCCAGTCCTTCTAGGACTCTTTTCTCTCTTCGTTTTCACCAGAAGTCTTTTAAAAAACATCTAAGGTCTGGAGAGATGGCTCAGTGGTTAAGAGCGCTCTCTGCTCTTCCCGAGACCTGACTGGGTTCAATTCCCAGAACCTACATGGCAGCTCACAACTGTCTCTAACTCTGATTCCAAGGGATCGGACACATTCACACTAATATATATACAATAAAATTAAATAAAGTATTAAAAAATATCCAATATTCTTGAGTATAGTCCATTCTTCGCAAAGATCACAGGCTCCATTAAATGGTTAACAATATCAGTAACTCCTTAAAAGTTGCATAAATAAGTACTATTCCTACTAGAATGTATCTTTTTTACCAGGGTTCTTTTTTTAATTTTTTTATTTTTTTTAATATTAGTTACAGATTATTTTTTTAATTTTTTATTAATTACACTTTATTCATTTTGTATCCCCTCATAAGCCCGTCCCTCCTCCCCTCCCTATCCCACCCTCCCTCCCCTTTCTGCATGCATGTCACTCCCCAAGTCCACTGATAGAGGAGGTTCTCCTCTTCTTTCTGATCTTAGTCTATCAGTTCTCATCAAAAGTGGCTGCATTGTCCTCTACTGTGGCCTGGTAAGGCTGCTCCCCCCTCAGGGGGAGGTGATCAAAGAGCAGGCCAATCAGATTATGTCAGAGGCAGTCCCTCTTCCCATTACTATGTAAACCACTTGGACACTGAACTGCCATGGGCTACACCTGTGCAGGGGTTCCAGGTCATCTCCACGAATAGTCCTTGGTTGGAGTATGATTTTCTGGGAAGATCCCTGTGTTCAAATTATCTTGTTCTGTTGCTCTCCTTGTGGAATTCCTGTCCCCTCCAGCTCTTACTATTTCCCACTTCTTACATAAAATTCCATTCACTCTGCCCATCAGTTGGCCATCAGGCTCAGCATCTGCTTTGACAGTCTATACTGCAGAAGCTTTCAGAGGCCCTCTGTGGCAGGTTTCAAGGTTGTTTCCTATTTTCTTCTGGCTTTCAGAGGCCCTCTGTAGCAGGTTTTGAGGTTGTTTCCTATTTTCTTTTTCTTCTGATGTCCATCCTCTTTGCCTTTCAGGATGGGGATTGAACATTTTAGGTAGGGTCCTCTCTTTTGCTTAGTTTGTTTAGATGTACAGGTTTTAGTGGGTTAATTTATATTGTATGTTTAAATGAGTGAGTATATACCATGCATGTCTCTTTGCTTCTGGGACAACTCACTCAGGATGATCCTTTCCAGGTCCCACCATTTACCTGCAAATTTCATGATTTCCTTGTTTTTCATTGCTGAGTAATATTCCATTGTATAGATGTTCCACAGTTTCTGCATCCATTCTTCAGTTGAGGGGCATCTGGGTTGTTTCCAGCTTCTGGCTATTACAAATAAAGCTGCTACAAACATGGTTGAGCAAATGTCCTTGTTGTGTACTTGCGCCTCTTTTGGGTATATGCCTAGGAGTGGTATGGCTGGATCTTGAAGAAGTGCTATTCCTAGTTGTCTGAGAAAGCACCAGATTGATTTCCAGAGTGGTTGTACCAGTTTACATTCCCACCAGCAGTGGAGGAGGGTTCCCCTTTCTCCACAACCTCTCCAGCATGTGTTGTCCCTTGAGTTTTTCATCTTGGCCATTCTGATGGGTGTAAGGTGAAATCTCAGGGTTGTTTTGATTTGCATTTCCCTAATGGCTAATGAGGTTGAGCATTTCTTTAAGTTCTTCTCTGC